AAATTTTAATATTGCATACCATGAATTCCACCTTGATTTATCGGCTTTCCTGTGACACAACCATGAGAGTTCATGTCTTGATATCCGAGTGTTTTCGAATAGGTATCCATCATCCAAGCCATTTCACGTTCGCCAGTACCTTTAATAAATTATCACAATCGATACTATATATTTGTTATCATCCCCCCTAACGTGCTAGGGTTGATTGACAAAATTATTTTTACTAACTTTATTACCTTGTAATTATAGTAAAACTATTAAATTCATCTGATAAAGATGATCTTATCGATAAAGTAATGTGTTGACCTTGACCATAAAAAAACGATTTATGGGCAAATATAAACTTCATCTCAAAACATCTTGTTACCCATGTCTAGTGCTGGTACATCAACTCCAGGGCTCAAAAATCTCTTCTTAATCAATTCTAATGCAAACTTCCGAGTTATTTTCTCCAATTCTAACAATGAGTACTTCCTAGGATCAATTTTGATTCCAGCCTTAGCACCACCATATGTGGATATAAGATATAAGATATTTTTAAAAAACTTGCGATGCGATGTAAGAGATTAGAGATATAGATGTTGACTCAGTTTAATTGCTATACTATTAGGAAAATATGTGAATAGCAAAAAATATACGAATATATGCAAAATTTTGGGGGTTCACTCACAATGTAAGTTAACAGATATTCTAGAAACAGGACATACAACCCTGTACTATTGTACTATTTCCCGCAGGACGTTTGGCGAGAAAATATAAGTTCCCACTTGCTACCTTATTCGAGCAGTTTCGAGTTAAAAGTAATATGACAACATCCGTTTTTACACGCGGATTCTTAAATTAACTTTGCAGCAAAAAGCAAGTTGGACTTTCCCCTTATTTCACATTTGAGCAATCCACATCTCGATCCGTCTGCATAAATCGTTTTGAGTGTTAACGCGGTGATAAACCATGCATTTCAAAGTTCCGTTCAGGTGGATAAAAACTGGTCCACCAAGACGATCTGTTGGTAGAAGCGGTACCAAATTCTATACAATTTACCTACAGGGTGGGCCAACGAAAAACTTGCACCCCTACTTAAGACTATCCTGGTAGATCTAGAAAAAATGTTCGAACACATCAACTTTTATTTTTAAGGGGACATTTTGCTAACGATCACTGCATTATACAAGGTGTTTTATAAACAAGGTGCTAAGTCACACTTTTGATTTTCAAATGGAAAGCTACTAGTTTTATGTAATTTTTCGATCCTGTCAGAAGTTTGGAGCAAATTTGGTATAGCATATTCTATACCCACCTTCAACCGTTTCAATTTTATTTGAGTTTTTTTGTTGAATGACTTAGATATTGGCCGTTCGAAAGTATCGCAGTTTGCTGTTTCTATGAGTACTTCTAACAGATTAGCAAAAACAATGAGTCACCGTCAAATTTCAGTGCGGGCTTAAACTGTTTTTAACTTAATGTGCACATCTTCCATTACAATAAAATTTTCCATTCGCCAAAGGGTAGAAATAATAAATATTTAGTTTGAAAACATTGCAAAAGTTCTGCCAGGGCTGCCGCCCGTTTATTTCATCAGTTACATTCTGACAGAACTATTAACGATAAGTATGTGGAAAGGTTAATCAAGAAGTTTGAAGGATCTGAACCTATGATCATCCGGTTTTGGGACACGTAGCACTTGACAATAGCCAAAGTACTCGCCAAATGACTACATTTTCCGAAGTTTCTCGTACGTCAATACGAAGAATATTGAAAATATTGTAATAAAGTTCATCCTTACAAAATAAAACTTGTACATGAACTTAATAAAGATGATTATGATAGAAGTGCGGAGTTCTGCCGACAAATTAGTCAACGGTTGTTCAACAATAGACATTTGCTGTTTAATATTTGGTTCTCAGATGAATGCAAATTCTATTTACACGGCGTTGATAATAGACATAGTTGTCATTATTGGAGGGACTCAAACCCTCATTTATTTAGACAAGTCGATTTCCAAGATCTCGCAAGTTAAACGTTTGGGCAGGTATATTAGGAAAACATGTTGTAAGATCTCTTTTTCTTGAGAGAAGAGATTTTCCACCGGATCACACCGGAAAACTTCTTCAGATAACTTGTTAAATGGCCGCAAGTAAATAGAGCAAAATCTTTATTACTGTATGGAGGAAAACTGACAACATTTATTATCACATTGAAGTCCATCTGTTTGCCTAGTAAAGATTGTTTTTGCTTAATACCTCATTTATTTAATTTAAATGATATTTCCTTAGATTAAATGTTGCAAATTTGCTATGAATTATCATGTAGAGTTAATTATTCACAGCAGATATTATTTCAAGAATTTCGAATTTTAAAATTAAGTTCCTAAACGAGTAGTTAAGTTAAAAAAAAACGTTTAAGCCCACATTGCCACTTGACGGCGACTCGGACTAACACTTGACGGTTGTTTTGACTAAACTGTCAGAGGCATCCAAAGAAACGGCAATGTGCGATACTTCCGAACGGCTCGATATCTCGATCATTCAACAACAAACGCAAATAAAATTGAACCGGTTGAAGACGGGTATAGAACATGTTGTACCAAATTTACTACAAACTTCTGGCAGGACCGAAAAATTACAAAAAACTAGTTGGTTTCCATTTGAAAATGAAAAGTATGACGTAGTATTTTGTTTATGAAACACCCTGTATAATGCAATGATGGTCAGCAAGACGTCCCCTTAAAAATCAAAGTTGACGTGTTCGAGCTTTTTTTCTAAGTCTACCAGGAGAAGCATAAATAGGGGTGCGATCTTTTCGTTGGGCCACCCTGTATATGTAAAACCGCCGATTAGATAATTTTAAAAGTTTATTGAAAATTGTGAGAGCCGGATCACTGACATCATGCAACTGAACGCTTCCCACAATTTTATCTCAAATTAATGCTGATAGTGTTCAATTTCTGTTGCATGGGATGTTTCCTCACCATTCGCGGGTTTATTACGTTAATTTGTAACACCGAATCCGTTTAAGTAAGACTGATAGGTAAACAAAATATTAGTATGCACATGTTCACCCATGACTTTGTGATCATTTATAAGTGTGCAAAAATAAAAGCGTTTCCTATAGTCATGTGGCAAAAATGTGTGCACCGGAGTTTAATATCGTAAGGGTATAAGTGTTTCGTATTCCTTTCTTAAATATTCTGTTAATACTTTTGTCGCTGTTTCAAATTCAAAACCTATACTTCCAGTATTTAGCCTGAATCTTCCAGAGCACGGGCTAAAACTTGGTCCTCAAGTTCAGGATTTGCAGTTACCTACTAGCTGAGGGGCGCAGTTAATAGATAAAGCAATAACCTGTCTGAATAACCTGACAAGTGCTAAAGTTGGATTTTGAAAATATTTGCAGTGTAAGTTTTATGTGGTACTAATAGTTGAAGCAGCTTGCCTTAAAATCAATATTATGCGAAGCTCATTGGATATACACGGTGTCTCGTAAGCATATGATCAAAAGGATACTGTGATATTCTTTGCATCAAAAGAAGTCTGTATAATCTAACTTTTATCAACAACAAATGTTTGGCTCCCCTGCTATTGATGGTCAAAGTTCTTCAAACAATTTATCTTTTTTTTAAATATCGGGAGAATGATACGATGTATTTTGGATTATGTAAGAGTCATATTTTGATGAAACAAGCGAGCTCTCATCCGTTTTGGACAAGTGGTGAATTCTTGAGTGTCGTAGTACAAAAACTACCAGAACTGTTTATTTGGTGAATTTTATGAAATCAACTCGTTTTTTGGTTGATGTACTAATCATTTATTCATAATTTTGTACTCTTTATAAACATTTGTCGTATTCATAGGTTTTGCGCAAAAAAAACATGTCTGTTTTCTTGCCACTTAACAATGTTAGACATTAACTGCAAATATCGTTATACGAGGAATAAATTAATTGTCAATCAATCTCACAAATTCGTTTCGAATGACCTTTTCTAGTGAAGAAATGACCGACGTGGTCAAAGATTAAGGTCTTGCGAAGACAACTAGCGTGAAAGCGTACGCGTGTACGCGCCGCACATTTGCACTTAATGTCTAACATTGTTAAGTGGCAAGAAAACAGACATATTTTTGTGCGCAAAAACTATAGACACTACAAGATTTTACAAAGAGCACAAAATTGTAAATAAATGATTGGTAAATAAACCAAAAAAAAAATGAATTAATTCCATCCACCAAATTAAAATTTCTGGTAGTTTTTGTACCACGACACTCAAGAATTCACCACTTGTCCAAAACGGCTGAACTCGATTATTTCATCAAAAGGTGTGTCTTAAATAAGAACAAATTCACAACTAGTTTAACCAAAATACATGGTACCATTCTCCCGATATTTCAAAAAGGTAATTTTTTTGACGAACTTTGGCCATCAATAGCGGAGTAGCCAGACATTTTTTGTTAATAAAAGTTAGCTCACATCGTCTTCGTTTGATCCAAAGAATATCGCAGTACCCTCTTGATCATGTACTTATGGGACACCCTGGAGATCAAAACCCACAGCTACTCCCGCATGCGCGTTTACCTTTGGTTGGCAATTTATGTTGACTATGTTGCGCTCTATATCCTTGAATTATTTCATACTCTCCAGTGTCCCGTTTCATCGGAAATGCCACTTCTATCATGGCATCGCATGCCTCAATTTGCTTGAAAATGGCTGTAACTTTAGCTTGACGCTGTTCCTTCGTTTCAATATTTCCTCGAATTTTTCCTAAATCTTCAACAAGCTTATCTTCACAAACAATACATGCTTGATGGAAAAAGTATTCTATCATCTGGAAGGTGAAGCTTTGTTTTAGGTTTACAAATAGATATTACAATTATTTTATCAATTTGCAAGTTTTAGTGTTAGCATAATTAGCAATTCGGGTTGAGCGATTGAGAGAATAGTTTTTATAATTTCAAAAAACTGAATTGGATAAATTCACTTTTAAACGTTCAAGGAATAAAATTTAGCTCTTTCGGATAAATAATGTGTCTACCTCAGAAAATTTACGATCAGATTGATCTGGCACTTTCTTCAGGCGTTCTGGAATTACATGCTTTAGCCGATACTGCCCTTTACACTGGCTTCCTAGTGGATGTTGAAATAATCGACGAACAAGCAAATATTTGGTTAACTGAGACATATGCGTAATTGTAATGATGATTTAGAAATTAGGAAATTTTTGATTCACTGCACTTTCGTCTGACAGTTTCTTAACATTTTCGAAGTATTTTGACTTTGAAAACGGTACATAAAGGTGTAATGTTTCGTACCTTTATTTTTTAATTAATAGTAGGCATAGTATACAGAGTTTGAATTGTATAACATATTGTTGGGCTGAGGTTATGGGTAATAATTAAGAAACCTCTGAGCGCCCCGTTTACCAAAACCGTTTACCACATGTCCTCAAAAGTATGTAAATAAATAAACTAGTAATAAACTAGAGCTGATCAAAATTACAAATTTTGACAGGCGATAGAAGGTGAAGACAATTGAAGTAAACCCGAGTAGAAACCGATAGCTGCCCTAAATTACTAAAAGCTGAGTAATGTGGACACAATCTCAAAAGTATTGTCCAAATAGCAACTTCGGCGTTAAAAAATCACAATTTCTGAACTGGTGCAGTTGCAAAATTAAAAAATTTTCAGGTTGCAGTTAAAACCATTCGTTAACTGAAGATAACACTACTCGAACTAGAATTTTTTTGAATTTAAAACAAACCGTGAAATGGAGACGGAATCTTGACTTTGTTGGAAAAATGCAACTTGCTTTGATAAAATCAAGACTACTAAACTAAAGCCGATGTAGATCAGAAAGATCTGAAAAAAACACCAATGAAACCAACATTTTCTTCAATTAAGGAGAAGCTGTTAAATGGAGGCAGATAATCGACCGTGTTGCCAAAAAATCTATGAGTGAGCTACAAACTCTGGACAGAAACTTGACATTATACGGAAACGTAACTTTGGCTTCAAAAATTCCTAACTGTGGAACTGGAAAAGCTCCGAGTTTAAAATGTTTTCAAGCAGTAGGACAAACTATTGTAGATTAACTGACAAAAACACCAGTCTTTTAATGATTTGCCCTAATTTAATAAAAATTCAGAAACCTGGACAAAATCTCGACTCTGTTGAGTGTTGTCCAAAATGCATCTTTGACTTCAAAAATTCATAACCAGGGCAATTGCAGGTCTAAAAGTTTTCAGGACTATAGAGAAAATGTCAGTAGTTCAACTGAAGAAAACCCCAAACAAGCGCAGGATTGTCAAAATTTAATAGGAGCAGAGAAACCTTAACAAAATATTGCCCTTGATGGCGAAAATGCAACTTTAGCTCGAAACAGTCAAAACTCAGCGAAAACAGCTGCAGCCATCGATTTTTTGAGGCTGTAAAAGCAGTTGCGACCAATTAATCCAAGCAAATACAAATCAATTTAATATTTGCTGTTATTTGGTAAATGCGAAAAAGTGACCAGAAACAACACGAGCAAAAAGGCAACTTGGGCTTCAAACATTCATAACTACGGAACTGAAGAACCTACGAGTTTTAAACGTTTTGTAACTGTAGCCGAAACCACATTGGATCATCTGATCAAAACAGCAGTCTATCCATAATTGGCCGTAATTTAATGGAAACTCAGAAACCTGGAGAAAATTTCGATAGTTTATAATGTTGACAAAATGCATTTTTGACGTCAAAAATTTTAAATTTGCAGAACTAAGGCAGCTGCAGTATAGAAAGCAACTACAGACGAAATTGAACAAAAACGGCGAAAACATGAACTGTTTCAGAAAATGAAGGAAACTGAAGCAGAAGTTGAATCCATCAGGGACCAAAGTTGTTCAACACATCGATTAATAAATCGCTAGTTGTTCGATTCAAAAGCGCGCGTCATATTTATCGTCAACAATTAATTTGAATTCATTTCTGTTAAATTGGTTATAATTTCTTTGAGTCTGAATACCGAGTTTTCCGTTTGTTATTGTTATTGTTTGTGAAGTTGACGGTAATTTTGAAGTTAGTTTGTGCCTGTTCCGTATTTAAAGTTATACCGAGTTAATAAAAGTTGAAAGCTGAAGAAAGAGTTTGCTACCCGGCCATCCACGGTACATTTGGTGTCAGAAGTGGGATTTATCAGAATCCAAGTTGAATTTTAATGGAAACAAGAAGTAAATCAAAGAAGGAAGACCCTGCAATGGAGAACCCCAGTTTAATTTCACTGCTCATGCAAATGAATGACAAAATGGAAGACAACAGTAGGATTTTTTTTTTCTCTCACTAAGTGCAAGATGATGAAAAACTAGTCACAGAGACGACTAACAATCTGTTTTGTTTTGGCACTAAGATATTACAATGATTAAAAATCTAAGCTTTCCCTATGGTTTCTTAGTTGTTTGGCAGCTTGGTAAGCTCGAATGGTTTGGTACGATCAAGTCTTCTTGTCAAGTTTTCCACATCGAGGAGCCTGGACTTTTCTTCGTTGATGTGACGCTGAAGGCGACTTTCGTGTGAAACAGCACATCTTTGTATAACTGTCGCAACCGTTTCTACGATGAGTTATCGATGTAAGTCGCAATTCCGTAGATACCACGGCGCATTAGTTATATGCCTTAGTAGTTTGTTCTGAAATCTTTGGACTATCTCGACATTAGATTTTTTGGCGCAGCCCCACAATTGACTGCCATAAGTCCATATTGGTCGCACCACTTGCTTGTAGATTAACAGCTTGTTATTGATTGTGTAGGGTCAAATTTATTTAAATTTAGTTAACTATGCGACTGGTTGCCTAAACAGTAGGTTGGCTTCACACACAAAAAAGCATATGACTAGGTAAGATAGAAAGAGACGGCCGTATGTTTGACGTTTGACAAAAGACGCCGG